TTACCTGGTAAAATAAAGTTAAAATAAATTACATAAATGCTCTAATAGTACTGTACACGTAAGTTAGTGGTTTATTTATTGTTAGTTACTGTAATGTTGCGCTGCTTTATTTGGTTAATCGTCCAGTCTGTGAAGAAGGCATTCAAGTAAGAATTGCATTGTAGTATGACTCATTTCCTGGCGCGTACAATTTATATTAGGGCAGCGTTCACGGTTCGACTTCTGATATTCAGATTGAGTTCTAGGTCAAACTGGTTTGTTCGACTTTCAAGAAATTTGAGTTCTAGTGAGTTCGAGAACCGAGGTACCACTGTATTTCCTTTGGTTACTTATGGTGAAGGTTAGGGTTGGATAAGAGTTAGGGGTGTCATAGTTATGTCCTTAGAAATGAATAGAGGGTCCCTGCAAAGACGGGAATAGCAGAGCCGTACTTGAATATTCTGCTTGTGCTCACATCAGTTTATGCCAGGTAGCCTGGTTTCCGTTCACCATCCAGAGACATGTGGCTTCTATGAATCAGCCTCTGTTTGCTGTGTGTGTTGTCATGGACTGGCTTACATTTATCGGTCTCAGTCTATGCCTGGACTAAGAACGCCACACCTTACTTTAAACAGACAGGTAGAGGCTGTGGAGAGAATCGCACATAGTTAAAAATGCAGGCTGGTGGGGAACGGCTCAGTAGGGTCAGGATGCTGTGCTTATGATTACAAAGTCATTGGTTCAAATACCAGCATGAGCAGACTAACTTCACCACTGGGCCCGAGAGCAAGCCTGTAAGTTGTTCTGCATTAAAGTGCCTGCTAAAGTAACTGTACAGTAATGCCACTTTTGCTGGAGAAGACAAGTTAAACTGCTTAAAAATAGTATCCTTTTCTACATAAGGTTACTGCCTGGACGCTCCTGTCAAATGGGCTCAGTACCTTCTAGTGCTTTCATTTATTAATCAGACTCAAATCCCTGGTTAGCATTAACAAGACAAGCTAGTCCATCAGTTTCCAGCCACCTTGGTGAGTGGAAGTAGAGTACTCGGATTAATTTGCAGGCAGGAACCATGTTTGCAACTCTCGAGACAGCGTGCACCTGCGAACTGCTCCGTAAGCCGATTTCTGTGACAGGCACGGAGTTCTCCACGGGGATGCCGGATCCCACTCGATTTCTGAAATATTCGGATCTGGAAAAACGCCTCGAGTGCTGGCCCTTTGTAGCCATAAAACAGGAACGTTAAAAAGCAACAGTCAACATCTGTCACTTAAAGGCAAATTTTTGCTTTCGAGTAATTTTTTTTTACTTATTAGGAAACCATGTGTAAACCACAATGAGGCATGTAAACGATGTGATGGGGGTCATTTTATCCTGTATCTCGTATGTCGCTTTGGTCGTAATTTTTTGGACATTGGCTCAGCTCTTGCAAGCATTTGGTTGAGGGTTTATTCTCACACAGCACAAAGACGGACAAGTCAGTCAATCATTGGCTCTTCCTGCTTTTAGCCTCTGACCACACATCAGTCCTTGGTCTGTTACACCATGCTTGAAGGTTCTGGATCTCACTGACTGAAAATCCCTCTGGCGATATTGCAATCAATTATGAAGTGCAAGGTCTCACTGAATCGTTGGAAATGTTATTAAAATGGTCATACGATGAGTTTTGCTCATAAACTGCTATTAGTAAAATTTTGTTAATCATTGGGCTTAAACATGCGCACGTCTTAACGACACGCCAGTCTGTCGGAATCTCCCAGCTCCTATACAATAATATGCGAGTGGATTGTGTTGGCACACGCTTAGCCGTTCTGGCAACGCAAATGAAACGTCTAATGAAGCGCAGAGTGTTCCCGATGCACGGCCCTCTGGGATTCCGCTGCAGGGAGACCGAGGTGGCGTCAATGGAGAGCCCTGTCATTCCGAATTCTCTCAGTACGAAACAATCTGTTTCACTTCAACGTGCGAACGCTACGCAGACGACGGCTGGACCTGGGGCTTGGAGAGCAACCAAGACGGCGAGAAAGACCAGCAACCGGGACCTTCGTTCCTCACCATTTGCTCACTGGGAATGTTATCTCACTTGTTAAGCAGATCAGTGGGAAAGCCTCTGTCAATGCACAGGATTGCAAAAATGGTGAACTCAGATTTTGAGCAGAAAATTATTATTAATTACATTAATTTAGCAGATGCTTTTATTTAAAGTGACATACAATTGAGAAAGCAGGGCCAGACAGTCCCTGGAGTAATAGGGGGTTAGGGGCCTCACTCAGGGGCCCAATGGGGAAATCACTCTGCCAAGCCTGGGAACTGAACCGCCGACATTCATGGACACAGTGACCCATCCTGCTGCGCCACATGCCACCCAAATCAGTACAATAACATTATATATTGCCTTGTCTTCTTCAGCAGGTTGACTTTCAAAGACTTTCAGTGGGGTTAAGGTCAAGACTCTGCGGTGGCCAATTCATGTGTGAAAATTATTCCTCATGCTCCCTGAACCACTCTTTGACAATTCAAGGCTGATGAACCTTGTCATTATCATCCTGGAGTATGACCATGCCGTTCGGGATGGAAAAATCCGTTGATGGGATAACCTGGCCATTCAGGAGATTCAGGTAATCAGCTGATTTACTGTATTGCTGCATAATGTTGCTGAGCTGTAATAATGATCCAATCATTGGCTCTTAAGTACCCGGGCATTTAAATTCAAGTGACTTTTTTTTGGACAGGCATTGTAGTAACATTATAATGACATTATAATAACATGTACACCAACCTTGTGCTCTATGTTGCCCGGGATAGGCTCCGCCCCCCAGGACCATGACCAATATAAGCAGTTAGAAGAGGGATGGATGAATGGAATAATGATCACTACTATTCTTTCCAATCAATGCAAATATTACAAAAAATTAACAAAAAATCAGTCAATGACCTGGATTATGATTATGAGATTCTAGTCTTCCTTTAATATATCAATAAGGAGTGCATCTATGGACCAAAAGCCGCTTTGCAACGTTCATTGAACAAGCTGATCTCACTGCATATTTGCATTTGCACCCGGACACAACGGAAACTGCAGGATTCCCGTCAGTCACTGAGCAATGTAGTTTGTGTCGGAAAGAATTAAAACTAAAGTTTTGTTTTTGATGAAAAGGAGTTTTAATGAGCTTTATGGGGGGCTGCTAGAGCTGGGGTTTGATATCACATCCTCCGAGGGTTTAATAAAACCAGATGGCTCACTGGAGTATGGCAGATCTTCCAGCTGGGCTCCCAGGAGATGCAAGCTGCTCTCCGAAGCAAACTTGCCCCCCCCCAGCCCTCGTTAATTCAAGCCTTATTCTCTTGTTGCTGCTGTCGTCTCCTTATGGTACAAACTGCTGAAACTCTACTTTGGCATATCTGGAATATAGTTTATAAGATTATATTGGGTGAGGCAGCAGGCAGTGGTCAGCACTGTTGCCTCACACCTCTGGGACCAGGGTTGGAGTCTCTGCCATGGCTCTCTGTGTGTGGAGCTTGAAGTTCTCCCCATGTCATTGTGGGGTTTCCTCCGGGTGCACCTCTTTCCTCCCCATAATCCAAAAATATGCTGAGGTGAACTGGAGTTACCAAATTGCCCATGGTGAGCCCTGTGTGAGTGAATGGTGGTGGTGAGCCCTGTGTGAGTGAATGGTGGTGGTGAGCCCTGTGTGAGTGAATGGTGCTGGTGTGCCCTTTGATGGGCTAGCGCCCCATCCTGAGTTGTTCCCTGCCTTGCACCGGTAGCCTCCAGGATAGGACCCTTAGTGCTACCCCAAATTTTAAAAAATTATCTAATTATGGACATTAGGTAGCTTTACAGTCTATTTTCAGCTAGCTGTAGAGCGGTTTTCATTAAAATCATTTGAATAACTGAATATTTCCTAAAGCAATGTGGTCTCCCTTACTATTTCACATGCCTAGCAGAATGGCACCTACTGTGGCCCAGATACACCGGATATGAACTCTGGGTCCATTTCAAATTGCAAACAATTTTAAACTGTAGTGATTTCCTCATTCTCCTTGTTCATCGCAACAATGCATTTTGGCTTCCGGAGCAAGCCCGAAGCACATATGTATCGATTTTTCTCTCCGTCAGGTTTCCAAGCCTAATTCTGAGTGACGGGTTTACTAATCACACCCGCTAAATACAGCCGGAACGTGGAAAATTATGTTTATAAGTGGGACGGGAACCGATCGCCCGCAGAGCTGCTGTGGTTCCTCGCTGTTTATGTTTTTGCATGAGCTCAAGGTGCGAAAATGAAAACAAAAGCCTGTCGGCAGTCAAGTTGGCGTCTCTGCTCCATATCTAAATCTGACACGCCGTCAAAAAGACAAACATAAGAAGATGCGATCGCTCTGCGCTGTCTGGTGCGACGGCTGGGAATGGAAGGAGCCCACTCACTTGTGACCCATCTCGTGGGCGATCGTGAAGGCCAAATTCAGCCCGTTGTCCTCCGCCAGGATGCACTTCCGCTTCTCGCTGCACATGCCGCTGAGGTAGGCGATCCCTGTTGGGGAACAGGCCTGCGTGGGTCTTTTCTGGAAGTGACAGGAGCTCCCGCCGGTCTGCAAACGACCGTGTCCCTCGCTCAATAGCCGTTCAAGGGACCCTCAGGAATACAGTCATGAACCAGACACCCAGGTGGAGGATTAGTCTAACAAAACTAATCTGGATTTCACATGTCAATTCAGTGATTCATCCACGGAGAAACCTGCCAAGTCATTAAAATGCCATCAGTGCTCTCACTTGTTACACCGTAATTGGTATCATTTTACTCAACAGACATTATTCTGACATTGAAATATAACTAATAAATACCATTAATAGTGTAGAATAAAAGATGGAAGATGGATGGATGGAATGAAGATTAGTGCTCATTAAAAAGTAATTGAAATCTTCACATTAAATATTAGCATTAAATGATGAATTTACTTGCTCTGTTGACCTGTAAGGACTTTAGGATGAATGTCTTTGTAAAGCTAGTTTAAAGACATCCATCATTCACCGATTCATCTACCATCTGCGCTATATCCGTTTCATACAACATCATCAGCATCGTTCCCTGTCTCAGGTTTTACAAAGGTCTAATCCCATGCCAATCCCAAACACCTTGGAGGTAAAATCCAGTTTAAGACCTTTTGGAAACATACGCTATTAGTCAAACACATTTATGCTTCGAAGAGCACAACAGAATATGTTCTTTTTGGAGATAAACCTAGTTCCACCGTGTGGTTCCACCGCGTGGTTCCACCGCATCCCGCTTCGTGCTTATGGATTCAATGTGGGACTGACAGCTGCTCCTAAGCTACTGAGGGATCAGTTTAAAGGGGAAACAAGGGGAAGGGATTTCGTATTTTCCCATATAGTAGATTGTATGCCGTGACCTTTGATGGCTTAATCACCCCATTGAAACAGATCCAGAACTAATGCTTTCCATTACGAAACCAGACAGAACAATCAGGCCTTTGATGGAGAAAGTAAATAAATGCAGGTTCAAGCCGAAATGCCCATTACAGTGATGTGTGTTCCAACCATCCTCTATCTATACCCCTCGCCATTTCCCATTTTCTTAATTTTCAATGTTTATGAGGCTCCAGAACCTTTCAGGATCAGAAATATGATTCTCAGACGAGAGATTAGCGCTAATCTGTCCATTAATGACCACTAGGCCTCGCCTGCCTGTCTTTGCCATGAAGAGAACAACAGCCAGTTGCTCTGTTCTTTCTGCACTTAGCTAAGCAACCAGCTTTGTGGACATTTTGTTTTCCTAAACCCACCCCCACAAGGCCCCCCACGTCCTGTAATGACATCCCTCTTGTCGGAAATCAAAGCCAAGTGGCCGAGATCGCAGCGATAATGCTTCGTATCATGCAAGAGATGCTAATGTCTCTCTGATAGTCAAAGCATGTCAAGTTGACTGCGTGCTGTAATATCGCCACTCCTGCAAAGAACAGATCATTTGTTTCTCTTTCACAATCGAACACCTCAGTATGAAGACTCATGACGGATAAGTAATCTTAAACACTGCATGCGTTGTCCTGAGGAAAAGTGGCAGGGATTTCTGAATGCAAAAGAAATTAGATTTTTTTTTTGCACTCTAATCCAGTCAGACGAACATACGGCACTCTTTTTATGAAGTAAACGAACCCACAGTGGCAAGGCAAGGAAAGGCACAATCTCCATCCTTTCCTCGCACCCACAGCTACAGTATTGAGTTTAATATTTTATCATCAGACATCAATCTTTCACCGGTTCTAATGGCAAACGCAGGCAACCTCGTGCACATGTGCTGTGCACCTGCAGCACTAGCATATGATACCTGAGGATATGAATAACACGTATCATTCAGGGAGATCAGGTTCTGCAACAAATACAAGATTCAGTATGTCCACTGGCCTGGGAGGAGGGACAGAGGCAGAGGGATGTGACTGAAACACGGGAGGGGGGGTAACATCCAAACTCTGTACACAAACAGCCAGGCCAGTTCTGTCCGTCCAACCCTAGAGGCTGGAGTACAGCCCACTGAGTTGCTGATCTAAGCATGAAATATATTGGCAAATTATCTACGTTTACACAAGACATTTAATGCAATTTAGTTTATCTAGCCTGGAGGATAGAAATCTTTTACAATTTCAAATCGCAAAATACTCCAATTTAGTAGGTGGTCTGATTCTGTTTATTTTCCCCCATAATGCAACTCTGCACTTTAATCACATGAAACTAATTATACAGTGTCACATATGTCATTTTCGGATGTCATCATCTGTGCCGAATGCTTGGCATAGATGAGTCGGCATTATTGGAACGTGATAAATCTGGCAGGAAATGGCTCATGTTGCATCTTTAAAGGGTCTAAATGTTGACTAAATTTTTGCAGTGCACAAAAAAGTTAAAAATGCCAATTTTACCTCAGACTATATGAATTAATATGTGTTATAAAATATCTGTAATTATTATTTCTTCAATATTTTACCCTCACGTTCCAAAACACAATCCAATGTAACAGTTTTTTTTTATTTGTTTACGTAATTTTAATATAATTCAGATTGTGATGGTCCACTATGGACCTCTGAGTGTTGGATAAATCAGAGTACGATGTAAGTTCGCGCACGGTTCCTTCATACACTCATGCTCACACCTAACAGGCGACATACCGAAACACGACACCCCTGTGAAATAGATGTAAATCCGTGCAGAACATGCCAGCAGTTAGCTGGAGAACCCAATGCTGCAAATGCAAATGCCACAATAACAATAAAAAAAAAAGCCTACAGATAATTAAACAAACCACAGCAAAGAATGGCCAATTCGCTGCCATCTATGGTATAGCCTAAATTCTGAGGTTAGTGACGTTGTGATGAGGCGCTAGAAGGCAAGATCTGGATGACAGAATCGAACTCTACATTAGATGTGTCCAGTTCTGGTCACTGCAGCCGAGTGTAAAAATTCTAGTCATCTTTAACCTGCTAAATAATGCTAGCATAGAGAGGTAAAATTATTACTGTTAATCAGTTCAAATGGGCACCTACAGACTCCAGGACAAGCAAACGTGCTGCTATAAGAGGTCGCTCGTGGGAGTTTTACTTACACAAATATGTTCTGAGGGCAGAAGAGATAACCAATCAGATTGTAGAGGAGGTGTGTCCAAGCAACTAGAGGAGGCGGGGCCAAAATATCTGGTTCCGCCTCCTATAGTTGCTTGGATCCACCTCCTCTACAGTCTGATTGGTTATCTCTCTAAACCAATCATTTTTCCTTCTGCCCTCAGAACTTTTTTTAGTAAGTAAAACTCCCATGAGCTGAGACCTCAGAGACATTAAAATGTACATGTAAAGCCACGGCTCCAGTAGGATTTCAAGTGAGCCAGAGACCAGACAAGCCAAGTGCCCTGCCTAGACCACAACATTTACAAATTCATGCTGGACTTCATGTAGCAAATCCAAAATTGAAAACAGGCCCATTTCTGTTCCAAGATCAACTGGGAAAGATCTAAGATAACCTTACAGATGTACAGAAGCAGGTAACTTCACGGGATTCACTCAGGCGCAGTTAGAAACATTCACATTGCTAAATGCTAAATTCACTTCCAGTTAAACGCCTTCATGAGATTCTGGCAAATCCCCCTGCTGCAATCATTACATGAATGAATCCATTAGGGAGGTGTATGTCTAGAAGGTTCATTTGTGTGGATAAAGTCCTGGGCTTGAAGCGTGACTGACACGACTGCGGAGTGCAGCTGGATGGGCCAGTGGTAACGCTCAGTGAAACATTGGCGTTTGCCAAGAGGCACACGTGTGCTTTCCGTGGGACATGTGCGCTTTCCGTGGGACACGGAATCGTTCCGACAGGCACCAGGCCAGACTCCAGGGAAGTCAAGGTGACACCACCACCTGCGCGTGTGTGGCTGAAGCCCTCAAGGTGAAAGACGCGGCTGATCGTCTTGTCAAATTTCCGTTACGGCTAACCAGATCCTCAACCAAAACAATTCAGAAGCCCAGGTTTAACAGTGGGCCACGGCCCAGATCAGCAGTGGGGTCCGTCTGGTGAAGCCCATGGCGAGAAGGACAATCACGTTAATGCTGAAAATTTGCAAGCTGGGGTAGACTGATACCAACATGTGTCAGTCATCCAGCAATGCGGGACTGCTATCCACCATGTATGTTGTGAATGAAAGGCAAGGACAATAGCTGTTAGCTGTAGTACACAACAAAAGTATGCAATTTATTTTAAAAACCACAAAAAAGTTAATAGATTTAACTGTGTAAATGTATTCACCTTTGCTAGTCTTATTGGTCCAAAAATGCAGCTGGTCAGTGAGATAACTCTAGAAGATGTTTATGATTAATTGAATCAATTTAAGCTTTAAAATTTATTGTGTAATTAATACAGCAGTGATCAAATTAACCTGAGCAGCATAATTACGAGTAAAACACAGCTGGCCTTTTGCCAGTGTCAGCCTTGTCTAGAATGATTGGTGGATTTAGCAGCTTTTTTTAATAAATTCAGCCTGGATTCATACTTTAGTTTTATTTTTATTTTATTTAGTGTGTCTGTACAGCAGGGGTGTCAAACTGCAGTTCTGGGGGGGCCAGAGCCCTGTGTAACTTAGTTCTTTCCCTGTTCCTCCACAAATGATTCAGCTCAAGAGCTGTGTGGTACTTAGCACAAGGTGGTGCAAGGACCTAAATCAGGTGTGTTAAACGAGGGGAAACCCAAAAATGTGCAGGGCTCCGGCCCTCCAGCACTAGAGATTGACACCCGTGCTGTACAGTATTCCTCCTGGAGCAGACTTTAGCTGAAATGTTATATTGAGGGAGTTAATGAAGTTAAAATGTAAATCATTGTACTCTGTCCTGTATACCACAGCCTTGGTTTTGCATTCAGCTACCTTCTACCTTCTATTTAGCTTCTGAGTTATAGAGTTGCTAGCTCATTATAACAAAAAGGTTTTAAGCTGCTGAATTTGTCCTAAAAACATTTCATGGGCAGTTTTCTTTTCTCACCAGATGCTACATGCTTTTTCATACAGTGGCTGTTGTACAACAGATGCCCGCTAACGGCTAACCCTAGGTATAATCGTAAATGTTGCAAAAGTAGGGGGTATCTACTTAGTTATTTCATCTGGGCTGTAACAGGTGTATTACACAATATGTCACCTGAAGCTGCACTTTTAGAGTAACTCAATGATCCAGAGACACTCGGGGTCCAGCAGCACATGAAATGGAGAATTCAGGTGCACAAGCTCTCCACAGAACATGGAAACAATTACACCTCGCAAAACTTCACGAAACAGTGTAGTAGCCATGGCAACCCTGCACAGCACATGTCATGTTCTGTCTGCAAAAGTGACAGAGACGAGGTGGAAATCGACTCCCACTGTGCCTGCCGACACGTATGACAAGCCGTCATGACAAACGTTTGTCGCTCAGCGACAGTGAATAGAATTGTCCGCCCTCATAGTGCTCTGGGCCACGGATGCAGGTTGGCCACACACCTTCTCACCTAACAAGACTAGTTAAAGTCCAGTAGACCACAGTGCATTAACACTGTTACCCTGTGTACAGCTGTAGTCTGGAGTTCATAAAAACATACATATCAAGAAAGAATCAATGCCTGTCAGTTGTCACAAATTGACATAATTAAATCAGAAATTTACAGAATACAGAAATTAAACATTAAAATTCTCATTCTTAAAAGGCTGATATTTATGTAAGTGCATTACCAGATTGTAGGTGCTTTTTTTAGCTTAAGTTTGAAACTTGTTGATTTAGTCAAATACTTATCGGTATTTCATCGGTAAACACAACTTCCTCGTCTTCTTGTCAGAAGACTAGTCTCCACCTTCAATGCGGGTGGCTGTGATTCTTTTAAAGCCTCTTTCAAACAGCCTGGGTCTTTGTGCACTGTTTACATTATCATCACTGAACTACCTGACAGGAAAGGTGTGGGATTAATGGCCAACCAACTGTGAGAGTGCTGGCATCGTTAAGCTTTGTGCTTTTTAAGAAACGGCGGGAAACAAAACAATATGGCCGTTACCTTAGCCTGGTTACTATGGAAACAAAACAACAACACCTTGGGGAGGGGTGGCAGCTGGGGGTGACCGTCACTATTATTATTCTTCAGCCATCTGTGTCATGGAGGAAAATGAGTTCATTCGAGTGACCGTGTTAATCAGGATGGACTTTGAATCGTGTAAAAGCCAGATGATCCATCCATCTTCCATAGTCACCTAGGCTTCACAGGGTTGTGGTGGGGACAGGGTGCAAGGCTGGGTGAGATGACAGCCACTGCAGGGCGCAGAAACCCTTCCAATATGGACCATTTCAAGAACTCAAAGAGATTACATGCCTTACAAGAGGAGACCCAACTGAGAAGAACAGGCAGATTCTGGCTGAACGCAAGATTTGAACCCACGATTCAGAAGGTTTTAGGCTCGCTACCCACTAAGCCACCAGGCAACCCAGGACCCCAACCACCGAAAATTCAAATGAAAACAGCGGAGGACACGATTAATGGCTGACTGAAGTTCCGCTATGGACAAAGTTGCCGCGCAATGAGCCGCCACGTTCTTCAGGATGCAGGAACTTACCCACGGTGTCGCACGGCTCGTCTTTATGCACGCAGAAATCCTTCCTGAAACAAAGAGACGGGACGTCAGCGCCGAGCCGCCAAAGTTGCCGTGACGATCTGACCCATTTGTACATAATTTGTACGGCTCAGTGGCCAACTACAAGGAATCTTTATCCCTTTCGGCGGCAAGACACCCAGAGACCAGAGGATTAGCAGGGATATTTCTGCCGTGGTCAATCCATAAAGCTGCTGGGGGCCCATCAGGAGACAGGTTTTTACACTCTGCTCGGGGGGTCTGTGTACTGATCTCCCATATCTGTGTGCAGTGACAAGACCGTAGCTTATAAGGTTTGACTGCTGCGTGATTATTGCTGGTTGTGAGTAACCCAATACTCAATCAGGACTATCTGAATATAGAGGACTTCTGCAACTTTCAAGGCCAATTTTTCTTTTTGATGGCCTGTGGCTCTGCTGGTTAGGAACCTAAGTCTGTGTACGGAAGGTTGCTGGTTTGAATCCTGTGGCTGCTGGGCTCATGATCAAGGCCCTTAACTTCAGAAAACAAAATGCTCCAGGTAAATGAATGTGAATGTGTGCAGTCTTACCCTGAATTGACACTCTCTCTCCAGCCAGCTGACCAAATTGGCAACCCTGCTAAATACCGGATCTTTGGTCATTGCGACAACCATTAGCATGGTGGCTAGTCCATTGGTTGAGGATTTCAAATCTGTAGGTAGAACTTTCAATTTCCACACGGAGACATTCTATTGTAGTCAGCTTCACCTGAGTTGCTCCGATAAAATATTGAGCTAGACTATAAATTGCTTTGGACATCAGTTTCAGCTAGGGCACAAAACAATAAAAAACAGCACTGCTCTGTTTGCCAAGCAGGCTCTGAAACACCGTGACTCCTATCAGGATTCCCCCTGAAAGCAGAGTGAATTACGGTGATGTCAATGACTAAGGACAATGAACTTCTGTGTTCGTAATGTAGATTGCAGCGGAGAGGTTTTGCTTTTATTTCTGACCTTTCCATCACAGGCAGAAAGGGTTTTGAGAAACAATTTAAGCCACGGAAAAGGTTTTATCTTGATGCAGCACATATCTGATCCCTTAAATTACACACTAAATCCTCTTCCCGAAGAAGCGAAAACTTCAGGGAAGGTGCCAGGTAATGACAAACATGCATTTCCACTCAACACATTTTTGTAGCTATTTTTTCCTAACTTACTGCAATGATTCAGGCTGATTTTGGTGATTTTATGTTCGATTTTTGGGCTTATTTGTTTATTATTTGTCTTCCCGATTCCCAGCGCAGGTCCTTTCGGGACTCTTTGGCCCTTGTGTCCGCGGGTCGTTGCCAACAGCTGAATCAGAGGGTCCCGGACAGTCACAAACAAGACAATGGACAACACTGTTACGACAAATAAAATGTGATTGAGACACAGCTGGCTGATTAACTGCAGAAAACCTCCCAAGGACAAATCACCTCATAACATATGGTTCCATGACACCCTAAATATGAAGCACCTGTCCGGTGAAATGAAAAACCGTGCCTGAAGAGCGGCGGCCCTGAGCAGCCCCGTCAGCTTCCGCCTCTGCTTCTCCAACAGATCCAGCTTTTTATGGGATTAAGAACCTACGTTTGGTTCTTAATGCAGCAGTTTAGAGCAGTGTTTCCCAATCTGGTCCTCGAGAACCCACAGACAGTCCAGGTTTTTGCTCCCTCCTGATAAGGAGCTGGGATGGAGCAAAAACATGGACCGACTATGGATCCCCGAGGAGCAGATTGGGAAACACTGGCTTAGAGTACAGCAGAAGCATCTCTTTGTGGGTGTCTTGACTAAAGCCAGCCTATCAGATATGTCAGTAAGGTGAACAGCAAATGGGACATTACAGCGCTCGTTCAGAAAGCTCGCCAGCCGTCTTACGGCTGTGTCTTAGTTTGCACGCCTCATCAATCCACAGCACAGAGTACACTTTACAGAACACAGCCATACTTCGTATATTACATTTCACTCTGCAAAACCTCCCATTCCAACCATTTATTTTATACTTATTTCATATACTGTATGAGTGGGCAGTGCCCATCCATATGGGTCTTCTGGCCAAAGATCACCAATCCCTCCCCGAAAACGAGCACAAAGGCCTTGGAAACAATTCGAATACTGGTGCCTCCAAAATGGCATCCTGGTAACACCATTGTTTACAATTTATTTATCCGTTTTTTCTGTTTCTGCCATCTGTTCTATGTATTCAGAATTTACCTACCCGTGTAATTTATTTCTTTTTATCTCACCATTTTGTCGCCATAGCCATAACATATGACATTAATCATTTTTACTAGCTTATACTTTTATATTTTATTCTTTAATCTATTATCCTTTAATTGTACTTTATTTTTATTTATTTATTTATATTTGTGTTTTGTTGTATTTTAGCTATTTTTTATGAATTATATGATTTGTTTGTTTAGCTTTATTTCACTTATTTATTTTACTTAGATTTATTCCATCCTTCTATAATTTCATTGACCTGTATGTTAGCTGCTTCTCTGTCTTTGGTTTTTATTTTGGTTTGTGAAGCACTTTGAGCTGCATCCTTTTATGAGAAGTGCTATAAAAATAAAGATAATAATAAGAATTATTATTATTATTATGAGTTATATGTCTGCTTTTATGTTTTTGGAGTGTCTTTGTTTTGTGCTGTTTTACACATTCCATGTTAATGTTTGAATGGCCCAAGTAAGCATTTTGATGTACTTTTGGCAAACAAAACAGGCAAATAAATAATGTTAAATGTTGAACATGGAGCAGTCGGGGCTGCCCACCTGGTGATGAGTATGGCTGTGTCCACCGAGGGGCTGTCATCCATCCAGCGGCTGCCGAAGTTTGAGTGGGCGCCCTTTCGCCCGTACTGCTCGTGCTGCCAGCGGCAGAAGCTCTCCAGCGTCTTCTCGCCGTGCTGCCCGATGTACATGTCTGCCTGGGGACAAAGTCACCCGCACGTCAGCCACACCCCATCCGCCTTCACGGTATGTGTCACTGTCACCGCGTCAAACAGCTGTAGTCACTGTACTACAGGTAGTCCTTGAAAAATATCCCAGAATGCATAGAGTTTATGGAACTGCTTATGATTGCTTCCATGAGTCAGGAACCTCCTGTTCTACACTGTGAGTTGCTCCTGAATTTTGCAAGTCGGATCAGTTTTTGGGCCAGATCAAGGAAACTAAAACATTTTTGGTAACACTTTACTTAAGGTCATGTTTTTAGTAATTTATAAACACATTCATAGTACATTATAATGCATTTATAACGCATTATAATGCATTTATAATGCATTATACACATGCCTGTAAATATTTATAAAGGGGCACAAAACATTATAGCCATATTTATTATGCATTAAGATCGCCTTATGAAACTCTCATTAATGCACTATAGATACCTTTATAATGTACTACATAGCATCATTAATGCTTATACCGACCATTATAATGCATTATAAAGGTATATATAGTGAATTATAGATGAAAGCTTCATAGAGCATTCATAATGCATAATACATATGGCTATAATGTGTTATGTCTTTTGATAAATATTTATAGCCATGTTTATAATGCTTTATGAATGCATTACTACTTGTTATGAATGTGTTTATAAATTCCTAAAAACATGGCCTCAAGTAAAGTGCTACCAAAGTGTTTTATTTCTTTTAGACCAGTGCCCAAAAGAACCTCTCACATCCCTGGCTTTTCCTCAAAATCTCACTTTAATATATATATTAAATAAAGAAATATATATATTAAATATTATTTTAGTGACTGACAGATTGATGGACATTCTGCCATTGAAATAGGATTACTGCACAGGGTTAAAAGAAAAATCAAAAGTAAGTTTTCAAATTATCCTCCTGATTAAATAATGAGTTACAGTATATGATCCATAGCACTGTTTTTCAGTGCTTGTTATTCCAAAGTTGGGGGCGAGGAATTTTAGCTCTGGAAACAGTAAAAGAGGTAAAGCTTTAGCCTGAGGAGAAAAGCAGTAATTTTATTTACTTAGCAGACGCTTTTATCCAAAGTAAGATCAATGTTTTTGAAAAAGCAGGTTCATATGGTCCCTGGAGCATAAAGGGCCTAGAGATCCTGCTGAAGGACCTAAGGACAGAAGCAGCTAACTAGGATTTGAACCAGCAGCCTTCCGATTACAGGAACTGCACCTAACTCACAGAGTCACACACCACCCCTGTACAGTTAGGAGGTCTCAGACAGCTGTTGGGTCTGAATCAAAGCGAAGGGTAACATTTCGATAGGTTCACGTCCTATGCAATGTTGTCTGAGGCTTTTTTTATCCTGGTGAAACGTAACCGGCATTAAAAACCACCGTTTGAATATTATTAATGCAGCCTAAATGTGCTCTTTGTTGCTCCAATGACCATCTCGTTGTTCTGTGCGCGTCCCCCCAAGCCCCCAAAGGCTCTCACTCCTACATCAAGCCAAACTTGGAGCAAAAAGAGCGAAAAAGCCAAAGAACGGCAATCTGACAAAACGGACTTTCGGCCCAAAAACACATCTGCAGGACAAAGAAAAACAAAGAGACTCTTTTCACAAACACAATTTGGCTGTGATGTCAGCAGTCGATCTTCAAGTCAATCGATTACATGCAATATGTTTTAATTTATTTAGCATGTGCTGTTATCTAAAGCTTCATTAACTTTTTAGGAAAATGGGGTCCACCAGTTCCTGGAGCAAGTGGGAGTGAAAGGCCATGCTCAAGGACCTAGAAGTAAAACACCCCGGTCAATTCTGGGATCTGAACTAACAACCTTCAGATCACACACACACACACACACACACACACAGCATGCAATCCCATGGAGCCACACACCGGCCTCAAAACAGCCCCCCCCCCCTCAATGTTTTCCAACAAAGCCTGCAGAAATTTGCCGGGGCACTAAGAAATTGCGATAATAGCATCATTCAGCAGGTAATTTTGAATGCGGCGTAAGCAGATGTTGGAATTTATGCGAATGTTGGAAACTGATGGACACCAGGAATGACATAAATACCATGTCTAAAAGCACGTTCCACATCATCAGGCAGCACTGCTGTGAAAAATAATAAAATTCTAGAATGAGAAGTGCTTCCTCTCTTGTGTATTCCCAATAGAGCATTTGTCCTTCACTACAGTTTAGCAGGAAGAACACTTAATCGCAGTCGCATCCATCTTCGTTATTTATTTGCAATGTAATTAGTGTCAGCTTTGACAGGGGTATAATTAATACAGAATTATGGTCAGTTCTGCTGCGTGTTTTGATTTCGCATGGGAGACCCATTCCAAGCAATGTATGTATTAAGAAAGTGTTTCCTTACTGGGTTTTCCTGGAGCAGCACCAGTTTGGTCACACGGATGTTCATCTGGATGCCGAGGCTTTTGTGTTGAAACAGGCTGAAAACCTAGGTAACAAAAATGAGGTTATACTGGGTGTGCAAGTGCACTTTAAATCACTAGAGAGTTTCTGATTAACCCTGTGAATTAAGTGCATCTTGGATATTCAGCTCGAATAATTAAAATACACTCAGTGACAAAAGAAGTTAAGCACCCAAAAGTAATGGTACGATTTCGATGCGTAGACGCATTAGACAGCATTACCAGCACTTGACAGAGTTTAATAGGAGTCACAGGTGGTCGTATCGTGCAGTTGCCCTGCATGTGGGGCATGCAGATGTCACGGTGGCCCGATGTTGCAACCAATGGGCACGTGAGGACAGCCACACATGTCGTGAAGGTCCCGGTCACCCAAGATGGACCACACCAAAGGAGGGTCGTCATATTGTGCGTCAAGCATCACAGAACCCCATGACATCTGTGCCAGTCATTCAGACACAGATATTGGACTCTCTACAACACACTGTGTCATCCCGCACCGTGTCCTGACGACTGGCATCAGCCGGACTATGGGTTCACAGTCCCATGCGTAGGCTGCCGTTAACACCAATGCAGAGACAGCTGCGTGGTGATCAATCCTGCCAATGTTGTGGAGAGACACACCAGTGTTACTCCAGTCATCATGGTGTGGGGAGCCATAGGGTATGACTTCAGGTCATCTCTGGTAGTGATTTGGGGGACCCTGACAGCACAGCGCTACGTCAGTGACATCCTGCGTCCGCATGTATCAACTCAGACCCAGGGCCAATATGCAGAATCTGGAGGCCCAGATACAACAGCTGTGGGGCGACTTGCCGCAGAAGAGGATGCAATGGCTGTAGGACTCCCTTCCACACCATATCACCATGTGTATCCAGGCCTGGGGGTGGGGGGGGGGGGGGTCCACACCCTACTGACATGGGACCAGCAGTGTGCCCATACTGCCAACTCTGTTGTCCGAAAGATCAGACATTATAATCATTGCAATACAGTCACATGACCTTTCCCCATGTGCAGATTCATTTCATTTCCACCACTCTGTCTGGGTGCTTAACTTTTTCTGTCACTTAGGACAGACAGACAGATACAGTAGATAATTAATAACAAATTGTCATTTATAGCTCCTTTCACTAGAAGGCACAGAAGATGAAAAGATATGGTCTATCTGGTCACGAGTGGAATGTATAGATCACTAAGAGCAGAGGACAGGACGGCAAGCATGAAATAAGTAACATGAGTGGCAGCAGGCATGGCGAATGGCTGGCTGAGTTTCAGGGCAGCACCAGTTTTAAAAGGTCAAGTGGAGAGTGATGTAGCAAGAAGTGATTGGATGGGAAGGAGGGCAGAGTCGTGGGACAGAGAGCAGTGAGTCTGCACGAATAGGAAAGGTTCGTCAGCGTTGGCACGGAGACATTCCAAGGGGGAGGGGCACAGGTCTGGGAACAATAAGCTTACAGGAGCAACAGAAGCAATGTCAAATGTCTGTGAGTAAGGTGCTAATTTTATGCTCTTATATTAGAAACATTCAGGTAAAACTCAACAGGTCCAGCAGCAGGAATCAAAATTATCTGGAAAGAATGTGGCTTATGATTAATAATGCTATTGGTACATTATCTTCAAGTTTCATTCTTAGGAGGCACACTAATCTAGATTAAAACGGCATAAACTGGCAAACCAGGAGAAAATTGATCCCAGATGACAACAGCACTGAACACACATTAGATGTTTATTACCTTTTTCTGCTATCCCATTAACTGGATCCATCTTAGGCTCTGAGAGTGGAAGGAAAGGTGTTTAGCATCTTGATTAAAGATGGCGGTGGGAATACGCACCATGTTCATGACGGTGAGGATGAAACGTCTCGCCGCCTCCACGCCGTGATAGCTGACCATGGCAGGGTCTGCCACCACCAGCGTCTCCACGTTGTATTCATGGAGCAGCTTGTGTGAGTACCTCTTCGCCCTCCTGCCCTCTGTCGCTGTTTGGCTTTTAAATTTCAGCTTCTCTGTGGAATGGAGATCGCACTCCATGCGGCTCATCTTTTCTAACTCAGGCTCAGGGAAAAGGGCACTCAGTGTGGATGAGGAAGCAGGAGAGACGATGGGTGACGCGGCTGAGCTCTCAGGCGGAGTATTAATCAAAAACAGCTAGGAAAGACGTCTCAATGAAAACCTTCAAGCCCACAACCACAGCTAGACAGGAATGACAGTCCAGACTTCATCAACTTACCTCTGATAAGCTGTCATCTTTTTTTAGTCTCAAACTGGCCCATATGGGGGGGGGGGGGTGTTTGTGATCTTTTGGCGGGGAGCAGGTTTTGCCAAAGAGTTAAGACACGCACATGACCATCCATCACTTCACAGACATTAAATTAGGTGTGAAAGTGCGTTACCCTTTTTTTTTAGCTTTCCGGCACATAAACGCTTCACGTTGCCCCGGTTTGGAGAAAAAAAAAGGTGCATTCCCAAAGGCTAGAGCGGGGTGGCCCATAAATCAAATAAGCATCCAGGGAGGGGATATATCCGCAGTGTAGCTGGCAACTGGGCACGGAACGGGCCAAGGATTTAAAGCACGACTGCATTTAGACTTAATCGCCTTCAGACAGGACCTCTCCGGCGCACCTCTGTTGGGCTGGGCAGGAGATTAATTAAACACAACGAGCGGGGAAGTGCGTGTGAGCTGCAGAGGGCACCTGGGCAGGATCTCCAGCCCACTTTTGTGTTTCGGCTTAATCACTCGCAGACAGATGGGCTCTCTGCACCACCTCTGTCAGGAAAGGCAGGAGACTAACCAAATAAAACTGCCAGGGAGGTACGTTTGCAAATACTCAAGGCATCAGGGCACAGTGCAGGATGGAATTTAAAGCATCCATAGGTTTAGGTATAATCACAGACAGACAGATGATCTCTGTCACGGTAGACAATAGATTCATGGGATTAAAAGCTTGAGAGCAAAAACGGGGTGATAATCACTTGTGAATATAAACACAAAGGGCTTAAAGAAATATAATGTGATTCAGGAAGCCAGTGCATTGTAGAAGTGTTTCTAGTCAACGTGCTATAACAACAAGTTGGCACATGTGCATTCTGGGTAATCTTTAAAGCCGTATTAAAATCCATCAAGGGTCTGGAGTATGGAGGTTTTAATTCCTAACCCTTCATCTGGGCTGACTGGTCATTTATATTATACACACCTACGTCTCTCTTCAAAAATCACAGTAAAACACAGTATTTAAGGGGAAGTGTACCGTTTAGCAAAATATTACAGGCTTATCATCACGAAATGATCACAAATATAAAAATGGAAAAAGGTCTCGGATCCCTGCTTATTCTGGACCTTTGCATGCGAAATTTATGTCGGACCTGGGAGTCCGATTGAAAACGTAATTAGGAAAAATTCAAATACGTGTGCACGGACATCACCTGAAACGACTCGGAAAGCATCAAAGATTTATCCAACTATAAAAGTTGAGGCTGCAGTGCCAGGTTTTCCTTTTCTTGGCCCAACAATGCAATGAAGTAATTTTCGTGGGCCCTATAATAAGATATGATATATCAAAGGGTTCATGACACGTGTCCAATGAATGAAGGTTACCAGGGAGTAATTCACAGTGGCTGTCAGCGTTTCCCCCGGTTGACGTGTCCTCTGCGGAGCGCTTTCTTCTGTAAGCACGGTGCGGGTGTCCCGTGACAGCAACGGTATCATTCAGGGGCTCGATAAATAAAAGGTCCTTACTGAGCTGAATAAACCCCATCTGTGAGAGGAACAAAGACAAGAATACACTAATCTAACTGCAATTTAGCTTTGCACCAGTAAAGTTAAGCAAGATTATATACATGCAATGGAATTGGTTGAAGTTTACACCCTTGTGCAAATTAATTCAAGAATTAATCATTAATTCAGTAACTTTTTTACTATTTGATTTTCAGTTTCATTCCAGAAAGCCAACAATATGCCTTCATTAGTCACTTTTTTAATGGGTTGGAGTTACATCATTATGTGTAGGAAATTTCCTCATCATCACATTTCCTGATGGGTCAGGCATCTTTCAGTATCTAGCCCTTTGCCATATGTCGAAAATGGACAGGAATTTCATCAACAAGAAGACAATTAAGGTATATAGAGAATCTGTGGTCAATCTACAAGCAGTGCCTTTGTGGAATGGACTGTAGCACAAAAGATAAGCTTATTCAGGCATTGATTCAAGTATGGTACTGGGACCTCCAAGATCATCGAAGACTGCACAAAATTGCTGGATTCTATGCCAAATGGCCCCCAAATGCTACTAAAAGACAAATGAGGTCATATTATATATTGAAATGTTGAACTTGCTTCAATTTATTTGCACAAGGGTGTACAAGATGAATTAAGCTCAGCATTCAATGATGGGCCTAGATTACAGAATCAGCCTCAGTGTCATTACTTTAGCTCAGTCATCACCCATGCGCCATCTTTACCTTAATGAATAAAACCTATCTACTGAGTCCCCAAAAAAACTCCCTGAACTGTTAATGACACATAACAACAAAAGTCCATTTTTCATCAGCTCTGTGTCAGTTTGTGTCTTCATTTCTAGATAGTATAGTTAATATTGAGGTATATATTGATGTTTACTATCCGCCCTTGATATTGTTATGCATATCTTAAATTAAACCTTTACACACACTAAACCCACAATGATTCCTACTAGCTTTCAGTATATGGATTTAAACTTCCCTTTTCGTATATGCTTGTCTAGTTACGGTGTGTTTTCTATAGCCAGGGCCTATCCCATGATGCACTGGGTCATCACAGGGGCCTCCAATTCCATCATGCAGTGATCTAAATTAAACTGCACTGCTGAGGGTGATAAGACAGTCCAGACTCAATTTGTTGTGGAGACGATAAGAGAATGTGCAGGTCAACTGCTAGACAAATAAATATATAAAATATCTACACTAAGTGTCTCAAGCTCTATAGGTGCTTCAGGGTGCAAAATCTGTTTCTATTTCGGGGATAAAAAATACACAAAGGGAAGCCATGGAGACCTTGATTCATGCTGATTACCTCAGACTCACTTTGTTCTCATCCCAGAATCCTCAGCAAAAATAATTTACATGCACTATACTCATGAATAGGGATGTACAAAATGGGGTATACAGGGGTGTGGGGAGGGGCGGCACATATCCCCAATATTTAATTTGGTTTCACTCATCCCCCCAAATAATTATTAAGTTGTGTTTCCCCCCCCCCAGTATCGAACTCTTTCCTATACGGTTGCTCATAAATCCAGATTACCTTACAAACCAAAAGTCACCATATAAACTAGGCTTTCCAGTGCACTTTTCTCTGCCATCTGGACAAGAACACAGGAACCGCCAGTAACACAGGAAAGTTAGTCTGAGTTTCCTAACTGTATAAAATCTGGCTATTGGCTTGTTCGAAAGCTAAGGACCAATGACAAACACATGCGATTTATTCTTCAGCCAACCAAATCACTCATTTACCATTTGAAACTTAAGGCGGCACTGGTAGTATCTACTATCTGCTATTGTATGATGTGATTAAAAAAAAAAAAAAACGCTGTAGTTGATTTATAATGCTGTAACAGGACTGAGTCTTAATTTAGCCTGGAGGTATCACAGTCTACATCCTAGCACTTATCTCAGAATGACAATGAAGAATCCTGTACTTAAACAACAGTAATTTTATAAACCTGCCTTAATTCCATTGAAAAATAAACCCCTTGCTCAGGGCAAAGATTCAAATCAGCCTGGCATCAGGATAAAAACCAGATTCATTAATTATACTCTAGGATAACATTACCAGATCAACTGACAGCATAACAGAAAACAAAGAAAAAAAACCTTTAATACATATTACATCATTTTCTTTTTTTTTGGATGATTGTGCTAAAATTGAATGAAAGGGAAATCTGTTAGTATTTAGAAAGTTTTGTGAGTAAACCACAGATTGGCCCTTGAGTCGTATTTCTAAAGTTAAATTCATTAGCGGTTTCCACATCAAAGATGGCATCTCCAAGGCAAGCCATCTCCAGCTAAGCATTTATTTATTTATTTTCCCCACCAGGACCATCGGGAGCATTTCCAGAAGTTGCAGTAACTGCGGCGTGATCTCCGCAGAGCCTCAGACGGAGGCGGGGAGCTGTCCGCGGCCCTGGAGGTTTCCACCATCCAGAAAGTTACATCACAGGTCAGTTTGTCCAAATAATAAGCCTCGTGCGGCCGGCTGCCCAAGCCTGGTGCAACCCGCCCAGCTTGTCCGGGCCACGTCGGCGCTTCCCAGAACCGAGGCAGCCGCTCACCATCCACCAGCCGCAAGGACAGAGCACTTCGAGTAAGCCGTAAGTGCCCCCCGGGGGGGTAGCCTGAGGTTCGGAGCGTGCACTGCTGAGGCGACATCACGTAGCAGGCCCAGCCAGGAAAGCTTATTTGCTTCGTGTCAAATTAATTCCTATGACTTAAGCAGACCAAACAAGCTGATCGCTCACTTGATTAAAGAAGGCTGGTTTAACATCTGCGTTTAGGCAAAACCATCAAATTCTGACACAGACGGATGCCTGGGCCACCCTGCAGACAGTACTCAACCACTACAGGGAGAAGAATGTTGGTTGGCTAGTTTATAATGAAGATTTTTATTGTTTTAGGCTCAAGGATGTTAGCATGATCTTAATTTGCTGTCTTACCTCTGAGTGTTTCAGTGTGGCGGCATTTGGAAGAACAAATTTAAAAATATGTAATAAACGACCATATACATTAATGTTACTGTCACTATTGTACACTTTCTGTATTAATAACAAACTGGAGTTTGTTATTAATAAATCCAGCTCAGATACATTGTATATCTGTCGCTAACTGCCAATGGCAGACATTTTTGAAACACTTAATAAAATCTACAGTATGTATGAACTGTGAAAAACCACCCACACCCAGTTTGGGTCAGTTCATCAACATAAGAAACCCCAGTTTTTGTCAAAGGTCGTGTTTCTGCACCTGTGCAGTCAGGTCTGAATTTTATAACCAAGCCAAAATGAGAAGGCATCAGCTTCAGCTGCAATCAGAATTCGATTCCACACCCTATCGGCCTAAAGAAACAGGGCGGTATGTGACTTAGCAGCTTAGGACTCTGTGCCTGGGATCGAAAGGCTGCCGCTTCAAATCCCAGGGTCAGCAAAGTGATTTCATCATTGGGCCCTTGGTCCCTAATCACTCCAGGGACTGGCAGACCCTGTCTACTCAAATTTACATCACTTTTGTAAAAGTCTCTAATAAATAAATTCTACTGTGCACACATACAAGTGTGTCAACAGAAACATTCAAGTTCCTAAATAACATTTTGTTTTAGCTGACTTTCTCCTTTTCACTTGAGCGTTCAGTATCCTAGGTGTCATTACTAGTGTTTTAACTCATTATTTTTTACTCACCCATGTTCAAAGCCTCTTACAATTTCAAAATATTTCTTCCTGAAGGAATTAAGGGGAAGTGCTTTTCTCAAGTGCTGCAAAGCAGGCCGTCTACAGAGCGAGGACCACTGGGATTAATGCCATGGCCTTCGGGCTCAAATGGCTCTGGTTCTGCCTACATATGCATTTTGAGAAGTGGACCTCCTCATCTTCATCTCATTAATTGGTGCTCACCACATTCATTCATTCATTCATTCACTCAGCTAGTGAGTGCCTTTTCCGGAGACATTCAGCTGACCTCAGATGGGACACATTCAGCTTCACTTTCCATTTTGCATGCGTCCACTGCAACCTTGACTCCGTCTCGCTCATTCCCACAGAGTCTCACGCTCTTCCCCATGGGGCTCGCGATTGTGGTGCCTGTCAGAGAGTCGCGGAGCCGTGAAACGACTTTTCCGCTGAAACTCCGAAAATCTGTGACAATTTGTGCTCTCTGTTTCTTTCCCCTCTGTTTCAATGTATGATTTCAGTTACATGAGCAACGTGTAGGAAATCATTACAGAGCTGCCAGTGTTTGTCTGTCACCATGACCACCCCGTTTCTGTCCCAGGCCGTGGTGGGAATTCTCCAGGGAGATGTTATGAATATGTGTGAGATTTGGCTGCCACTTGTTCTTGCTGGAGTGCCTTCGCTGTTCCAAGGCCGATACTGAGGATGACTTTTCATGTATTTTTGAGAAACTATGAATGTTTAAGCATCCTTAAAAGGATAGAGACTTTTGTTTTTCATTTCCCTCAATTTTATTTGAATCTGATATATTTTATTTGAAATTAAGGGCACTAAGTTATTAGGCTCACAAAAAAAAGTAAGAAATTCCAATACAGCCTCCCCCCAGTTTACAAGGCGAAAATATTGTACTGTATTAAAATGCATTTTAATACAGTACACTTAAGCTAACAAAAACCATAGCCTAGCCTACGTTAGAACATTTATATTAGCCTACATTTGTGCAAAATCATTAACACAAAGCCAATTTTATAATAGAGTGTTAAATATCTCATGTAATTTGTTGAATATTGCACTGAAAGTGAAGAACATTTACCAATCGTAAAGTTGTAACATGGACCATCATGAACTGGGGAGCGTTTGTACGTAGAGCAACCGCTAGTTTGGTGCCTCGGTAAATGCAAACAGCTAAATGTGCTGTCTCCTTAACTGAGGTTGTGTTTCATGCACACGGTGAAAGTGAACAAAAGCACACTTTCTACATGCCCGTTTTTTTTCTCCTAAGAGGTGATGCTTTGAGTTAATAAGAGGAAGTCAGCGATTCCAGGCCAAACTCTTGGGAAGTCGTCCAAGCCATGAAAACCACAGAAGTTCACCAGGGAAAACCTCAGGAGGTCACTAATGACTGTATATCGTGACCTCCTGGGAGGTTTATGTCGTCTCTTTACACGTGGTCCAGAACCTCGAGAATGAGGGGTGTGGCCGAGGCACAGATGCCGGCTTTCCTCAGACCTGTTCCACGAGCTTCGTGAGACGCACCTGGGTGCAGAAATGTGTCCTGGCTTGAATCTCCAGCAATGGCGATGACCCACACACACCAAAAGCGAATGCAAGACAGATCCTGCAAGTTTGTGTACAACTGTCAAGCATCGAGGGCCTATTCATGGCTGTCCGTGATAAGCACAAGCAAAAAAATCGCTCATACTTTCTGAGGATTTCTGCCTCAGACAGGAGAGTCATTTCAAGGGAAAGCTCTCATCATAAGAACGTCATCCATAGTCCAAAATTAATTATCATGTTAAACAGTGGCTCAGGCTTTATACATAAGTTGTAGAGGATGAACTTCTATTGGACAGCATCTGGGGGGTGGTGGCTCATGAGGCTTAAACTCTAAATGTTTTTAACAAAGCCCCAGAATTTTTTTTCTTACAATCATTTTACAATCACTGTCACCATGTAACTATTCATAACAGTTTCGCTGGTTAGGATCCAATCATCCCCTGACCCTAGAATCACCCCTGTAGCTTAACCACAGCCCATCAAAACAAACCAATATCAAGGCCAGATTTACCATGCGACAGGCAGCAATGAAGATTTATTTTATATTTACCTTGTCAACTAGACTATGGACTGGACCAAAAGGATGCAAGCCGCAAAAATTCACAGTTATAGCATCAACCAGCATGATATTTATGCTGTTTAAACAGGTACGTTATAAACAGTGTACATTGTAAACAATAAAGAGCAAAATAATGTTGGATGGAGGGGATTTACTACTCTGGCGGATTTCATGTGCTTTTAGTTACATCCCAAAGTATTCTACGCAGATTGTTGTATGCCCCCTAAAACGCAAGAAAGAGAAAAATGCTTAGGGGTCTGCACAGTGTGACGTTTATGAAGTTTGACTTGTAACCAACAGCTTGCGGAATCTCCTTGACGCATCCTTGACTTCTACACCTCGCTTTCTTTTCAGAATTTCCTTTTGTGTACTTTAAAAAGTAGCAATTGTCCAACAGAAAGTTACACGTTAAGGTTTAACGGGTGATTCGTGTTGCTGAACTACGTAGAAAACAAGGTGTACGGCATGTAATTTCACGCTGGTTACTCCGGTGCTATGAAAGCGGTGTGTAACGTGTAAAGACCGCAGCCTGGTGGGCAGGAAGGCACTAGCTCAGCCATTCATGTCAAGCTTCATGCTCCAGTACGTGTAGACGGTCAATGGCGTTAGATGATGCACCGATTTCGCTATTTTGTTAATCCGAATTAGTATTATTTGCAAATAACTACACACGTGGACTCATCAAGAAAAATCCAAGATAAGATAATCGCGACGGCGTGTCTCAAGTAATTAAAAAGTATGAAGAATATGATTGCGAAGTGTAAATGATTGCTTAGTCATAGATATAAAAATTACAAGTGTAACCCATTCTTATGACCTAAATCACGGAGAGCGTGTTCTTGTCTCATGGAACTATATTTTGACATATACTGAGAGTTATATATAGGCCTAGGGCTGTGTATAAATGCAGGTGTTATTTACCAGTCCAGCGCAGGTGCTGAATGAGACGCTGGATCCCGTGTAATTGAGCACGATCCCACTGTAATAGCAGCTTGTCTCAGCGCTGGCAGCCTGCGTGTCCCGTACAGATGCCTTTCGTGCTTTCGCTCTCTCCTCCACCATGAACTTCTGGGACAGAAAGCGAGTGTCCCTCTTCAGGATGAGACGCAGGTCCTTACCAAAAGCCGAGATCCTGAGCCTCAGTTCCGGCGGAGCCTGCACTTGCGGTCTCGGAGGATCCGTACGGTGCAGCTCCGGTGGGTCGTATTCGTCCCAGCGAGAAAGGGAGCGAACCTCCCGAGAGCTGCTCCCCGTACCGGCATCCCCGTCTCGGCTGACCGCTCTGTTTGCACCCGGAGGACCCATGTCAGGAAAAAACTCCGGGAAAATGATCTCAGAATCCGGAGATACTTGTAGACCTGTATCGATAGATCAAAAAATAATAAATATTTAAAAATATATAATAAAAAACGTTTATCGAAAGCATACTGGAACAAAGTTGCTGAAAATTATCTTTACTTTGCCGAATTCCTTATTGAGAAACGAAAAACCTCTTGATAAAACGCAGGTGACTTTACTCGCGGTGAACACTAATAAAAGTAACTTTGTAAAGCCGGTACGTCAACGATAAATACACAGTTAACTCTTTGCTATTAGGTAAGCTATTGAATACTGAATACTATACTCGTTGTATGTGCGATTGTTAGACACAATATACGGTAATAACTTAAATGATTAATCCAAAACGTATCGTCTCTACCTGAAGTTACAGTAGCAGCCAGAAAACACAACTGATGCAGAAAACTGCAGATGTGATTGAGACGCATTGTCTGAGACTCTCCAACGCGACCACCCTAAGCGAATTTTTTAACTTGACAACGTGCAAACGATAACAAAAGTGCTGTCTATGGAAAAAAAAACACTTTCCAGGAACTCAAGCCAAAAAATTAAGTGTCTGTGCACTGCTTGTTGGTTTTGTCCATGTCCCGGTGTCTGCAGTTAATGTTTCTTCACTCACATGAGAGGTTTTCCAAATGAATGGGTCGGAGTAAAACTCAGAAAAAGTAAGCGCCGAATTAGGGAGAGAAAGAGAGAGAGGGGCGGAGGGGGGGCATCCGTACAGATAACATACAGCATGATGTATGGGGACAGCACAAGCAGCGGCAGGGAACGCTTGAGGATCCAGACTTTACGCTCTACATATTTTGCTGGCACTGCCAGCCATGGTATCGCCACCCATGCCGACGATTGACTCACGAGCGAGGAGTGGATGCCTTGCTATTGTCCAAATTAATTATTTAGTTAGGCACTATCTGATTCTACAACTTCTACCTCGTTTTTTGTTTCTGGTACCTTTGCTTTAAATGATCTATAGCTTTATAAGACTGACTATACAGTATAGCCATTTAACCCCAAATCAGTTTTAACTAAAAACGTAAAATTACATTTATAGTGGGCCGGCTGTCGAAAATTTTGAAATCATATATCCCGGGCCATAATGAATTAACTGCGTGTTATGGGTCTCCAACAAGATATCTGTATAAAACTATAGTTTAAGATGCTCTCAGTTTAAAATGCAACGCATATTAACAGTTCAGCAATGCTTTGGGCAAAACCAGCGACGTCTATGACAGGAAGTTAAAGTCATACCCTCAGGATAACAAAAAAAGAAATGAACTATAAATAGGGTTCAAGTCACGTTAGAAACACAGTAGCCTATATGTGGTAAAATAAATATCTGCGAAGTAATCAACTTAAATCGAATGATTCAAAGACTGGGGGTAGATTATTTAATTATTTTATGGGTCATAAACGAACAGGATAAAACAGACAGCTGAAGGTAGCGTGATCACCTTGATGGACAAAACAGTATTCATGATGTCACCAGTGACTTTAAACAACTAATAAACTAACCAAACTTTATACGAGTAGATAAAACGTATTATTTGTATTATATGTAGCTGTTACATATTTTACAATATTCTCAAATTATAAACAGATTCCGCTATTTTGAACCACCCCACCCAAATAGCCTAGCTACTGTGAGGCACCTTAAAATAGATGTTTGTAAAAGGAGACGTGCCTGCAAAATATTTCAGCTTTATCAGCTAGCAGATATTGAATGTTCATTCAAAATGACTCAGCAATTGGATTCCCTTTTTAAAAACCATTACAACCATGTAGCATAAACAAGTAAAGAGCTTAATTGTCATCAACTTCCTGTTCCGTTTCTTGTCAGATGAAGATTACAACCTTAGACTTCTGATCTAAACACAGAAGCCACTGTAAAGTAAACAGCAGCATGGACTACAGGACAAAACTCTTCTCTTTTTTATGGATCCTGCGCCACAATGTCCTCAGGTTACCAATGACAAGATCACTGATTCCGGAGTAATAAGAAGGATGATGATTCAATTCGCCTATATACCAAAAGTTAAATTTCAAGCTAGTTACAGCTCACACAACACTATGAAATACATCCATCTATCCCTCTCAGGAATGGGGAGGGGGGGGGAGGTATAGCCTACCTTGAGCAGCACAGGCCACAAGGCTGGGGTACATCCTGGATGGGATACCACTCCATGAAAAGGACAGTGCACCACAATTACACAAAAACAAGCACTTCCAAAGTGGCCATTGAGAGATACAATCAGTAACATCTCACGACTCATTACTGCTATGCCGATCAACGCCACCATTGAAATGCTAATAAATTGATCAGCTTAGGTTGTGCTCTGGAGCTGTTTAGCGTGGCAGTAGGAGAACTGTTTTATTTACTACAGCTTCAGGCTGCAAGATCAGACCTGGCCCTGTCTGCACAACAACAACATAAAAGTGCAGCACTTAATATTATGGGCCGGAGCTTCTCCGTGTCAAGCCTTTAGCTGTATTATTCAGACAATGAGTATTAATATAAAATTAAAGCCAGTTGACTGCACTGGCAGCTTGTAATATATTTCCTGGACATGTGGACACAAGCTTTTAAGGATACGGAAACACGCACAGCATTTTCATATACTCCAAAAGTCATACCCCCATTCCTTCATACCTGTTTGGGAAATGTCGTTCTGTGAATGCAAATATCTGTGGGTTTGGGAGACGTCTTGGCCTCACATCCATGGCGTAAGGATAAGTGGGTTTGTGTTTAATCTAAAATGGAAAGATGGATTGATGGATGAGTTTTATATCGCGCGTTGCGTCCAGGTTTGCCTTCCAGAAGCCTGGCCAGTACTCGGCAGCTGAGGAGGCCGTGCGTTTCTGCACACGACGCCCACACACTTGTGGCACGTGCATGTCTTTCTCGGCCACTGACACGTCTAGCTAACACGGTTCACCTGCATGAGGTCGCCTGTGCTTCTTCACGTTTCTGATTCTGGAGGTGCCAGGAGTTTTTGAACGCGTGCGCTGATATCGGTCTCGATTATTACTTGGGGATGCGCCACATTTATAATTTACTGCAACATTTCTGGGGGGAAATTTCCAGACCTCCCATATGGTCCTACGTTACTGATAAGATCAAGACAAATAGGTTATATACCGAGAGAGGACAGATAACCTCATTCCTCACACAAGCAGCTCAAGTCATGATACAGTATAATACTTTATAATAGTAGAAAAATATAACTCAGGCACAGAAACCCGTTATGCCTGAAAATAGCTTTATTTCCCCATATCTCACGCTCCTTATCTGCTGCTCTTTCATGGGCATCCTGGCCAGATGCCTGAAGGTAAATTTATAATAACACAGGATGTCAAGAACTTGGTGATTAGCGTTCGTATTTGTCCTGTAAAACTTTTGAAGCTCCCCACAAATCTGTTCCCTTGAGGTGAAATTCCTGAATGTAGCTCACCTAAGCAGCCTAAGATACGATCAAATTAACTTTATCAGTCCCAGTGGGACATTCTGGTTTATGCAGCAGTGAGAAACATATAGTGCCGACAAACAAACATTTAGTGAGAAACAAAACAAAGTGCAATGACAGTACAAACCGAAGTGCACAGTACACAGACAGAGCATCTGAAAAAGAACATTACGGAAATTAAAATAAATAAATAAATATAAAATAAATATTAAATAAATAAAATAAATATTAAATAAATTATGTCCAATTTTATGTGCAAACAGATAGCACAGGCCATTGACATGTGGTCTATTTAAAACTACTGAACAGAAGTGATTCAGTTTATAACTAAAGGCCATATAACTAAACAAGGCATTGCACTCAGTCGTATTTTTTCCAGTGCTGAAGGTGACTTTTAAAAGTGCGATGAGACGAAGCAGATTTACCCCAGTTACACTACCAAAGCACCTTTTGCACATGCAAATGCTACTTGTTGAGTATGTACCATGGTGTTTTTTTTCTGCTTGTCATTTATTGTTATTTATCCTAAGCCTGTGTATTTATTATGTTATATACATTTGGCATTATGTTGTGGCAGAAGCAGGAAAATTTTGTTGCATTGTGCACATATGAAAACTAAAGGAAAACCTTGAACCTTGAGGCTGGACAGTGTGTGGTATGACTTCAAAACGGTGGATTTGGCGAAGAAGAAAGCGGACATGAAAGTCAGCTGTGGCACAGCAGGGATTGTTAATAGCACATATCATGAGAAAAAAGATGTGAAGTTACTGCCGATCTCTGCTTTAAGGCTAAATATTTAAAGGCCTAGATTGAGTTGTACCATGCCGCTGCTTTGTGGTGGAGATGGAGGTAACTTCTCAAAGCTGCATAAGTTTAAACCCCCCTCCCCCAGAGCTAGGGTGACTGGGCAGTGCTCAACTGGTGTGTCCTGACCAACTTCTCCCAGAAATAATTATGTCCCCAAAAACAGCTACAGCAGTCTGCTTTGGTTAGTGTGCAGGACTGACCTGATTGCCATGCACCTCAGACAACCTCAATCGGTGAATATCCGTGAACAGAGGCATTATGGGTAAAAAGGGGGTGGGCTGACATTCCAGAAGTCCCTTTCCTGAAGTTATATTGCAGCTGTTATGCTGTCAACCTGCATTTGATCTGAGGCATATCACTTTAGAGGAATATCTTTCACTTTACGCCGATGCTTTTATTACAAGGTTTTATACTTTCCGGGATCATTGATGTATTTTGCCATATAATTAAAATGAAGAACCAAAAACTGCAGTGCTGCAATCCAGTTGGCACAGAAACACTGTATAATCAATTTGGCTCCACTTCACTTCCTCTCTGCCAGTTGTTCATGGCATTTTTGGGATTTGGCAAGTTGGGATAATGCAGCCGTTTGGGGCCTGAACACTCAAATCCATTTGCAAAGGGGCTGAAACTCCTTAAAAGCAGGTTTTTCCTCTCTCGAGGAAATTTTTAGTGGCCACATAATTCAGTTTTTCATGGTAACTTAATATATAGCCTTCATGCATGACTATACAATATGTATACAAGATAAGCAAGATTCTGATTCCGCTCTTTTGCTGCATACAGTAACTGCCAATGTATAATGCATTAATAATTTAATCTTATTTGGCCATGGATAATGTCATATACTTGATCATTTCAGCCATTTCACAACGCATATAATCTGTGTTAAATATATCTGTATCCCACAACAATTTAATTTAATGATTTAAATTTTTTAATTTTTCTTATCTTTGAGTTTTAAAGATCATGCCGTTTTTAGGCTTTACCAATTATTGTCACATTTGCAGGGCTGCAAAGCAACTCAAAAGAGTCAAATCCTGCTTGCAGTGCTCTAATGTACATTTCCCACAATCCAAGAACATGCCATTCAGGAGGTAGTGATTCTAAATTGCCTTCAGCAAGGGAATGTCTCAATCAACCCTTATCTTAGACAAGTGTCTTATCCAGCCCTTTGTTTGGGGGCGGTGGGGTGTGTCTCGCCCAGCCCTGAGCTTGGGGGGTCCTCATTGCCATGCTAAGTAGGTGCCCCTTCAGAAGGTGGCGTCCTATAGGGAGCCGCCAATGTCGTCTAATGGGTTAACCAGCACTGTTGCACATGATGGCTTTGCTTGTCCTCAGAGCAGCTCTGGAGAACATAGACCTGCTCAGATGTGTTTTTTTTGGAATTTAACTGTCAGTCCACAGAGTTAGCAATATTATCTAGGAGTAAAACAATGTGAAATGTGTTTACTATTAGTATCAACGTGGTAAATCCATTTTCAATGACTGGCAAGTAGATACAGTCCTTCAAGGTCATTTGTGTGCATTTTTCAGAAAGTGAAACACGGTAAAGTGAGTTTATTGCCTTCCTTTTATTTGCTCCTGTATTTTCTGAACTTATTGTTCTTTTTTCTGTAGAAGAAAAACCAACTATACTAGAATAATTCTGTTATCATAGTCAGATTGTACAATAAATTAAAAGTGTAAAGCTAGTTTATTTTCTAAACAAAAAATAATAATGGGAATCTAATTTTATAATATCTAGAAGTAACAAATGCACACAGATTGAAATGTGTATACAAAAGTACTTTATGGGGAATTAAAACATCAGATTTCATTGCTCATTAAATCCTCTGTATGTAATAACAAAAAGCTTGGAATAATGAGATAAAATGTTTGTTTTTCTGCAAAATAAAAAATATATCCTGGAATATATACTCATAAAACTAACTGAAGTCAAGCATAGATTTGGATATAAAGCATAAATTTTCACAGCACATTTTTACCTGAATATTAGCAGGACAGTAATTAGACGGGATTCAGATCTGTGGGGGGCTGCTGCTATCAGAACTCCACTAGATTATGACCTGGAACGGGATAAAAGCAGTAATTTTCTTTGATGCTAAACGACGCTGGAGAAGCAGCCGTGCACCTCCAGCAACAGCGAGATAACCTGACCAATCAAATAATTACTGTACAAAGAGCCGATGACTGAAAGCAGCCCTGCCAGTAAGCAGGCCGAGGCCCACTGAGGCGCTACTGTCCAGAGGTGACAGTGGCAAAGAAAAACTCCTAGTAGGAAAAAAATCTTGGCACTCAATGACATGTGCAATGTTTATTTACGGATTACAGGTGAATTTACAGATTTCTGTGATTTCAATGGAATCCAGGCTTCAGTGGAATTGCTTTGTGTACAGTATATGCATAAATTATTCAATCCCTCAGTTTGTTCAGCCATAAATCCATCTTCTAACTAGTCATCTTGCTCAGAGTCACAATGAATCTGGATATCACTATAAATATCACTATAAATATTTTCATAAGGACAACGTATTGATTACATGTTAATTCCAGTGATGGGTGTTTATCCCAAAATGCAGGACAGGTCTGAGCCAACAGATATTTTCCGAATTAAATACGTATTGAGAAGTATAGAGAAGCATATGTCACGGGACATATCAAGTATGACAATGCACGGGACTGTAGATGTATGGTACACAGTTTTACCAAAACACAATTTAAGACGGACTACATGATCGATTCCCCCTCCCCCTGCTCGACAAATACTCTTGTGTAGTACAGGCACGTATCCAGGTAGTAAAATTACGGGTTAGAACCTCCCCCCATAAATTTGTTTGTGAATTACACCCCCCCCCCCGGGTCAGCTGTGGGGTGGGGCAGCGCACCTTGCCTTTGTGTCGCTGATGGAATTTGGACCGCGGGGGAAATAATGCAGTATTCCTGCTTTGCAGTGTCTTTAATGCGAGAAACTGGATGTGTCCTCCCGAATACGCGGGCGTATGCAGACGGCTCCCCTAGCCAACATTAACAGACAAGTGCAATTCTCCGTGTCACAGTAAACGGCGTGTCGCCAGTTCGGCGCTAGAAATTAAAAACAGAATGTGGAATTTAAGAAGTTCGCCACCAAGGCCATTATTGTCCCCCTGTCTGTCTTTTATCCTTCACTTTTAGTAAAACTGATCTCTTTAGAAAAAAAATGGAGTGATGCATTACATATAGACCCCATTTAAATCTGTTTTTATAAGTGAACTTGGCTAAACCCGTTTATATTGCATATATTCAGGGAGTTTTAATTTAGTAGGCCTACAGTACACTTCACTTTGAGTCTAACAGAGTCACATTTTATTTTCCAGTGAATGCGGAGGCATATGCTAGCTGCAAGTGTAACATGGTGTTCAACCCCCGTTCGCACCCTGTACCATTTCGGCCCCCATCATGAGTGTTCCCTCTCTCCACCCCAGCATTAGCGCCTTAAACACATTAGAAGTTCCTTTATCTTCTTTAATCAGAGCTTCAGTCAAACACACTTCCCCTGGCAAAGCGCAGGAATTTTCCATTATACGCTGCGCTGGGAGACCTGACAGGAATATGAGGTAATGCAATGTTTTAAACCGAGAATAATAAATTAAATGGCCTAAGATTTGGGGGGAAACGTAATAGGGATGTTGCGGGACAGCTTGACGGACACGAACAGCCTCGGCGGCGAGCGGGATCTCGTATGCCCGCGAAATGTTTAATTAAAACCGGGGAGCGTCTGGGTTTTGGGTTGCACGGGGTGAACTGCGACTTTGCTAAGTCTGCTTCAGTGACAAGGACATCTGGAAAGAGGCGACGAGAGTGACGAGTCTCAACCCTGAGAGAGAGAGAGAAAGCGCCAGCACTGAGCCCCGCACTTTTGATGCACCAGATACCGGTTTTGTTCTCTTTCAAAGGGTTTCCGTTTGTTTGCTGACTGTAGGCTGCTTGCCTAATGGTAATTAGAGCGAATCGTGTGTTTTTTTTAAGTGGAAACACTATTTAATTTTCTACTTATTTTTAGAGAATTTGATGCATCGAGATCTACTCAAACGTTCATATAAAAGTCACACCGTGGACTTAGTATCAGTACAAAAAACGATAAGGTGTTTGGAAATGGTCGTTTTGATGGCAAATGCACTGGAGCAGTACCAGATGGTGTTGTAAAACACCTCAGGATAAAAATGCAAATGACGTACGTAAAATATTTCATGTATTTTGGAAATATTTTTTTCGTATGTTCCCCTTCCATCGCGTTGTGCATTTAGCGAGCTCCGTCCTTATAAACCAATTTTCTTTTCATCATGTGTAACTCAGGCGTAACCATTTTTTTTTTATTCAAAGAGAAAAATCAGGGGGAAAAAAATAAAAAAGCTCATTATTTTCAGTCCTGAATGTGTTTGGCAGACGTTGTTAGTGGATGCTGTTAATCACGGCAGTAGACAAAGCATTAAATTAGATATAACAGCTTTAGCGCTCACCAGCAAATGGCACAGAGTGCTGCTGCAGCTGTTTAGTACATAGTAGTGCGCATACATGCTCGGACGGAAAAGCGAGGGACCTCCACAGCAGACCAGCGGCGCCATTAAACGCCGTGATAGGTTTACCATGTCGTGCTTGTCATGTAAGGTAGCCGACCGTACTTATGTCGACAAGTTAGAAAGACAGGGACAGACACGGCAGGTATGTTCGCTGTCTGTGGCAGACATGGCCAGACAGCTGTTTTTGTTGTAACTGTGGTGGTTCTCTGATATTGGGTTGCTATGCAGGATTGGTCCTTTTTAATTTAAGTGATTACTCTGTAAATCCTAGGGGAAAGAGACATATTTTTGTGGAAGGTGGGCAACTGTTTTAGTTTATATTTTTTTACTTAAGTTAAGAGAACACGTGTTAATTCTTGATTTTTTTTTTTGTTTGTTTTTGATTCTGTCTCTATTTCTTGCAGAAAATCCTTAGGCCTGAAGGAGCAGTTACTGCATCAGCACTGGGAAACAGCAACGCTAATGCTGCACAAAACGCAGTGCAGATGGGATGGGTTAGCACAGCCAACTGCGCTACATGCAGATACAAAAAAAATGTATATTTTCATGACAAGCCTTGCAAATACAGAATTACATACCCTATAACTTGTTCCATCGAAGAACTGATGAGAGGAGGCGTGGCCAAGAGCGACATCCTCTGATAGGAGACGGAGCCGAGACGGCCAGAGTATGCTCGGGGGAGTCTGCTGATGACGTCTTTCGAGCCACCCTCTGGCACGTTTAATTAGGTTGGATTTGTGAGCAGCTCTGATCGAGACTAACTGTTGGAGTTGCACGGGAAGTTGAATCGGATCAGAGCAGAAAGGACAAGGGTCTGTACCGTGATATGTGGAATAAGGCAAATTATCTTGCAGGATGCTGTGAAAGCCACAGGGCCCGCTGTGAAGCATTTTATTTCTGCAGCAATGGTTTGTCCTGGACAAAGGTACCTTCATCTAAGGTCACAGCCAGATCTATGAAAGTGATAAGTTGAGCTGAACAATAAATCAGGGAACAAAAGATGACATCAGTTATAGAGAGCTCTTGGTTTTCAGGGAACCTTCGGGTTTTTGAATGGAAAAATCATTCTATACTATTACATTCAAGCTATACACACTGGAACACTTAAATTACTTGGTTTCATATGGTTCCATAACTAGTTAGAAAACAATCACATCGAAGGATTTTTGCCAGAATGGCTAAATCAATTTGACTGAAGGCCTGATTGACCCGTTCTACTTGAAAAGATACAGATAACTTGCATCACATTGTTTAGATTAGTAATAGTAACATAGTCTTGGCAGCTTCCAAAAGCAAACTGTTGTCTTTTGCAAAGCCGGAAGGCACATCCTAAGCTCTCATTATTTTGATTAAACCACACAGACAACATGCTTTCCTACACGGGTTAATGGAGTGGCCCTTTACCTCAAAAAGAATTGATTTAATTAAACCACAAGGAGTTTCACAGAATAATAAACAAACACTATTTCAATAGTTAAGTTTAGCCCAGGACATTGTTTACATTGTGCAGTCCCACCATGTATGGAAAAAGGTCCAATTTAATCTAACAGGGCTTAGGGGCGATTTACCACCTTCTCGTTTGTTATGGTTGGAGGAGCTTGCATTGATTCATAAGAAGGCAGAAGCTAAGTCGAGTCGACGATGAGCACACACGTCTGCAGGAGGTAAAACCTTCCAGGGGTTAAATGAAGGCCAGAGCAACACTGTTGGAAATATTGGACACAAACCAAATAAGAAAAGGAATGACACAAGCAATACGGACACCTTCCTTTTTCTTATTTTCTCATGAAGTTTGTAATATCAAATAATACAATTACAATAGAAAAGGACACAGTTACATTTGTAATAGAATGGTAAATTCAGGGTTCTACACACATCAGTATTGTTACACAAGATGCCATTTTATGAGATCTTTCCCAGCACGTTACTTTGATGTCCATGCATGTATACAATTTTCTACATTTATGTGTCATTTGTGTTTACGCTTGAAGGCAACATGCAAGATGATGTGGATCTGAGCAGCCGACAGGACCCTTAAATGTAGACAATTACATTTTTATATGAGCATAGACGTAGAGATCAACATGCACGCATTAGAGTTTTATTCCTAAATATGAAATAATGATGAGGAATCATAACTGTAAGGGTTGTTAGAGACTATTCTCTTGCTACGATAAATTTAAATGAATGAATCTATCATTTTGTGCATGCATGTGGCTTTCCTGCCAAGGACCCCTTGGGTGTGCCTCTTTCATTGCCTGCAGAGAACCTGGGGTTTTGTATAGCAGCAATCTCACCCCTGCCATTGGCCTGAGAGTCGCAGACAGCAGGACCCTCGAGGGCTCGAAGGTGCCGCTGATTATTGAAACACCTGCTTGTGTAGCAGTCCTCAGGCCCGGTGCTGCATCCCTCCTGGGATAAAGGGGATTACAAAGCAGGTAAATAATGGATGTAATATTCGTAAGGCAGGCTGAGGCGTTTGGCTGAGCCACACAGTTCCCATTCATCGTATTAGGAGGCAGCCTGAATTCCTAGTGTGCAACCAGCTGTATGAAGCATCTAAATATTTTACATATGATGAACTCCCTTGAAAAATTATTTCATCCCGTTAATAATGTGTGTTGAATTGTCTGATGGGACGGCAAAGAAGGGCAGCAGACGGACCTGATCCAGGGTTATCAGTCACCGTGAAACGAGACTGTAAGTCGAGCATAAGATATAAGTTCTTCTGGGATGGTTATGTCTTTGAACTTTTTTGTATTTTTTTATTTAATTATTTGATTCAGGGCAAGCGACTCTGTTAAATGAATCATTTGGAAGCTTTTATTTAAAAAGTTTTGTTTGATGAGGTGAGTGCAGTGGCGCTGGGGAGGGGCTGCGATCGGAAGCTTTTGCTGGTTGAAACCCCAGCCTCTGCAAAAGAGTCACATGTCCTTGAGCAAAGCCCTTAACAGGCAGCTCCAGGGGTGCCACACGCCGGCTGTCCCTGCACTGTGACCCCCCCCCCAAGTTCTCACCTATATGTGTCTGTGTGTTTCATGAAGAGCCAGATGAGGTAAGGTGAACAGAAGCATTCCGATGTACCTGTGCAAATCGCAAATAAAGGATCATTCCAAATAGGGAAGTACAGTATACACTCACCTAAAGGATTATTAGGAACACCTGTTCAATTTCTCATTAATG